CCCCAAAACCCCAAAACCCCAAAACCCCAAACATAAAAGTAAGGTAAAAAGTAAATGAAATACAAAAGATATTAATTGAGATTGAATGATGAATTTAAAACAGTAAGAAGGTGGAGACTGGAGGACTAACATAAATGCCCCTTTGATGGTTTCAATCTAGACTTTTGTAAGTATTTAGAATTTTTTTAAGTTTAAAGATTGATGAAGTTAATGTTTAAGGCATTCAAAATAGTATAGAAATATAGATTCGGCTGTGAGAGAGTTAGTAGCTCATTGACTGAAGAGCTTTGAGATAGTTTGAATGGAGGATTGAGCGATTTCCTTGATGAATGTGACTGGGCATCTTGGTGAAGCAACTTTAAGGTGTGATTTCCACTCTGGTCTAAGTAGGAGATCCTCTTGCATGTCTTGATGCTTGAAGAAAAGGTATCTATCACCGAAGAATGACTTCACTAAGGGAGAGGTCAGAGTCAAATCTGCAATGTGAACTTTCTAAGCACTTGGATCAGCGTAAGCAAATACCTTGTAGAGAAGAGTACCTTGAGGGATTTATTGAAGTTAGTCTTGGAAGTTTTGAGTGTATTCTTCAGAGTATTTCTCTTTAAGAGGAGACTCAAAAACTAGTTGGAATGGGAACTTAGGTGATGAGACCTGCTTTCCATGTTAGTCATAGGAGGCTATGTCAGAGAGACCAACGTACTGAATGTATGGGGTAGCAGTGGCGAATTTCTTGCCAAGAATCTATTGGGGAACACTAATAGGATCTGGGATGTGATTAGAGAAGTCCTATCTGAAGAAGTTCCACGTATTAGCCCCATCTACTCCATACATTGCAACCAAGTTACCTGAGTGAGTATTGTCTCTGAGGAACTTAAGACCGAAGCCTGGGATGAAGTTGTCCTCTGCTTAAGCAGGAGTGGGCTTGGTAGAATCAGGTTGCTTTGCAAGTGAAAGTCTGATAACGGCATGATCAGCACCGCTTTAAAAGATTCCAGTGTATCCTTGGTTGTTAGAAACTGGGGTGAATTTTGCAGTTGCTGTGTTGCCAACAGTGTGAATATACTTGCTTCTGGCTCCAAAGAATCCATTTTCGAAAGTATCGCCAACCCATTTGAGACTTGGTTCCATACTTTCAACGAAAATGCCAGCTAGGGCTGCTGGACTGAACCAGTCATTTGACTTTGGATTTTAAGTGATCTGATTCCACAATTGCTGTTATTTTTGAGCGGCTGACTGACCCTCGTAGTTGGTGCCACTGAGTTCCCAATCGGCTAAGGCTTAAGAAGAAGCAACGAGCGCTGAGACAATAAGGGTAATTGCTATTCTTTTCATTCGAATTTATTTGGATACTAAAGTTAATTATAATTTAATCGAGTAATACAGATATATTTAAGTCAAGACAATTAAGGGGTTGCATATTTAATAATCAATTCAGTTGATGATGTAATACTTTAAATTAATTCGCAATCATTTCTAGATTATCAATTTTATTATTTAATATTTGCTTTATTTCAGCATTTGGGGTTTTGGGGTTTTGGGGTTTTGGGG